GCTGGAAGCTGAGAACTGGTGAGTTTCTAGTACAACTTTAGTACGCGGAGCAATCTGGGGAGCTGGAAGCTGAGAACTGGCGACTTTCTAGTACAACTTTAGTACGCGGAGTAGCTGGGGAGCTGGAAGATGAGAACTGGCGACTTGGGAGCACAACTTTAGTACGCGGAGCAATCTGGGGAGTGGGAAGATGAGAACTGGCGACTTGGTAGTACAACTTGAGTACGCGGAGTATCTCGGGAGCTGGAAGATGAGCACTGGCGACTTTGTAGTACAACTGTAGTACGCGGAGTATAGCTGGGGAGCTGGAAGCTGAGAACTGGCGACTTAAGGTAGTACAACTTTAGTACGCGGAGTATCTGGGGAGTGGGAAGATGAGAACTGGTGACTTGGTAGTACAATGACTTGGTAGTACAACATTAGTACGCGGAGTATCCGGGGAGCTGGAAGATGAGAACTGGCGACTTGGTAGTACAACTTGAGTACGCGGAGTATCTGGGGAGCTGGAAGATGAGAACTGGCGACTTGGTAGTAGAACTTTAGTACACGGAGCAATCTGTGGAGCTGGAAGATGAGAACTGGCGACTTTGTAGTACAACTTTACTACGCGGAGGTGACTTTCGAGAGGTGAAGAACTTGCAGAAAACAGGTGTTCCTGCGCTTCAGAAAGACATACAGAGAGAGACACATACACACACAGACATAGATACACACACAGAGACCCACACACTGCCTCAACACACTCGACTTAACACTTCACACTGAACACTTATAACACACTTAACAGATAACTCGCACTCTGACTTCCTACGTGATTAAAAATGCTTTCGGGCCACTCGTCGTCTAGTTGTTTTTTTAAATTGGAATTTTGGAAAATTCGAATTTTGGATGTTTGTGATGTCCTGGGATATTTTAAACATTTTTCAATTTCCTTGGAAGTGAAATTACTACAGCAGACGAATGCTACAAATGGCGTTTCCTGAATCCTTGATGGATGACAAATGCTAACAGACAGATCCTTCCAGGCAATGTCAGACACATCAATCATTCTCCAGAAAACTCATTAAACAAATTGAAAAATGCTCATGTTCATCGAAAAACGCGCCGCTCACAGCGCTCCCCTCTTATAATATATTGCATATATTGGTATATAATATACTATACCTTAATATAATATATGCCTACATTGGCACCTTTTCAACCACCGCAATGTATGCACATATATGCAACTATGCCAGTCCCAGACAGGTCGTGTTTAGAGAGGGAGGAGAAACACTGGACTTTTCCATGGGCGCTCACCGATCACCAAAGTGCAGGCAGTGGGGCTCACTTGGGAAGTGTTGCTTGGGCAGCGGGTGAAACACCTGAAAGAAGCGTGGTTTTGGAATATTGCCCAGGAGGATGTTGCTGATTGCACTCCCATGTTGGTGGAGAATTTCAGATCTTTTTTTTCCACATGTTTTGCTGCCCAGGATTATCTACATCAGTTTTGGAACTTTGGCCACGATGTACTGCCTCTACATTTTTGCCGCTGGATAAAATGGCATGGCGGGTTGACACACTTCTTTGGTCTGTTCCGCTGTATTATGTCTACAAAAGGGAGGGTACCGCTCAGGGTTCCTCCAGTAGTAAAGAGGACCCATGAAGAAGATCTATGACACTATAGTATAGTGTCACTACACCACGGGTGTTCCCGAGTGGTCGTTCACGCACCACATTGGCGTGCCTGAGATTTTCTTTCAGCCACACCCAGGGCTGTCCCAACAGCACATTTTGTTGTTTTTGTTGAGGATGTTGCAAAGGAATGTGTTCAACACCAGCAGATCCAGCAATTGACCCCTTTCCAGACACATTGGGCGAAGTGTGTTCCTAGAACCCAGGTCTTCGCATGGAACACTCACTGGAGGTTTAGAACTCGGACAGCATGGTAACCGATCCCTTCCTTGGATGTCGCGATCATCTTTGGGGTATAACAACTATCACTGTCCGATTGGGATCCTTAGATTTACCCATCTTTGTGGCTGGGGTTGACTGGGGGATGACTTTCTGGAAACAGTTTTGCCATGGTGATTTGGCATTGAAACAGTGACCAGGGATGATTGGATGACTTTGCCAGGTTCCTGTAACTATCAAGGCTATTTCTTGATTCCATTCTGGAATCTCTAGTAGATCAATGACACCATGGTAGTTAGGTGTTTTGGGAATCTGGGCGCTGCCCGTGTTCTTTTGCGAAGAGAAAAACCAGCCGCAGCCGTCGTTACGTGATGTTCACGAGATGTCACGAGAAGACTTCTCCGAGATGTCTCCCCACTGGTCTCCCTTCTTGGTTTGTTTTTGGTTGCAAGGGGTACAGTCGCTGTATGTCTCCCTTCTTGTCTCCCTTCTTGGGACAGGTTTTGGAGCAACATACACGGAACCGTTCAGCAGCATAGGCCACTTTTGGGTCATGACCTTGTCAAACACCTTGTGAAGGGTAAGAGAGAAGCGTCACCGGCTCCATGTTCCTCACCCAACAGGGCTTCACAGGTTTCACAGAGGTTGGAGCCGCCTGTTCAACCCAAGCCGCAGGTGTTTTGCAGATGTGGTTAGTTCGTGGCTGAACGGATTCTTCTCCTGACCGCTCAAAGGTTCCAAGTCTCGCAGAATCGGTGACCAGGGAAGGTGTACAACAAAATGCACATTCACATACCCTACGCGCCCAAACCCTGAAAATTTGTAGGTTCTTGGAGCCCCAGGTAGTCTTGGGAATGAACACCATAGGTTTCCGGTAGATTTTCCCTTGGACCAATTCATTGAAACTCGGGCGGTTTGAGGCCATCGTCCCATCAGCCTTCAGCAACTGTCACTCGGGCTGGCGTTGCGCGCCCCTTTGTCGACGGGGGAAGGTTTATGAATAGACCATTGCAGACACTCCATATCACTCCCCCCCTAAGGATCCAAGTACCCTTTGAGAAGGTGTTTGGGGTGGGTGCCAGGAGGGTCCAGTCTGACCTTCTGAGAAGGTATGTGGATCCATATCACTCCATAACACTGGAATCTATGCCAATCTGATGACCCCTGCAACAGCCGCCCCTGGCCGACTTCGATGCCCATATGCCACTTAAACAGCTCGTCGACTGGGAGTCCACTCGGACCAGGTGGTCCAGGCTGGAGACATCGGCGGACGCTGTGAACAACCGTGGTCACACGGGTTCGTGTCACCGTGTCACCAGCAGCTCATGTATGATGAGTGACGTGCAACAGGGGGGGTTCTAGTGGTGCCGTGGTGCCCAATGTTTGTTCTAGAGGTGCAACAGTGTTTTTTTGTTCCAGAGGTTTGCACACGTATTAATTTGTTTGATTTGTTTGTGCACGATTCTTCAGATGGCAAAGATCTCACTTACTTCAGCGTGGTTGCCAGTTCTCCACCCACAGACTGCGGTTCGTATCAAAATACCAGGCATATCAATTAAATAAGTAGCGCTTTTTGTTCTGAATCCGGACGCTCTACCAGACAGAAGTGCCATCAGGTTTGTTTGGGATTCCTCATTGGCCCTCGCTCCATGCTTGGGTTCCGGCACGACTGGAGTCTTTTTTGCCAGGCTACAAGCAGAAGAAGCTGAAACAGGTGCGAACGTGAGATGAAATAAGGAAAAACACGGAGCGGGTAGAGCCGGCCCAGCTTGTATGGATTGGTTGTCTCATGTTTTCCCTTCTACCCAAGATTTGCATGGGTGGGTGAAAGAATGGACTTCTCCAAGACAGAGATGCAGTCTACTCAACTGCTTGTGAAGATGTGGATGTTAGCATGTGGACTCCCATCCAAAAGTTGTGGAAATCATCGAACTTGTGCCGCCTATAGTCTAGACATCACTGGAATCTCCATAACCACAGCCTTTGACAACTCCCTAGGTTCGATCTATTCATGAACAGTCGTTTGAGAGGAAGCTTGCCACCCTGCGAGCATCCGGCCTGATGTGCTTGCCCTGCTGTGAGCCATGATGATTTGTTTAAACATTGGATGCACATTCCCTTCATGTTTTGCGTGTTGTTTAAATGTTTACTTTTTGCTTATCCCTAAACCCCACCAGACCCGGACAAGATATACATCTTAAGCTTCATAAAGGCTTGTGAGGGGTATCATCCTGAAGCGGATCTATATAGAGTATGGACATTTACACCATGCCTGTTCAGGTTGCCTCATGTTCGACCTACTCCACAATGACTGGATGACCCTCCGTGTCACATTGGCGTTGGATGATGCAGGTGTTGATGATGTTTCCTTAGGTGTTGCCATGATCCTTTAGATAGACCCGTGACGGAAAAAAAATCAAAGGTTTACAATTATTATAATGGATTTTGGAGGTATCAAACAATATGAACCATGGACTATAATAAGTTAGAAGATAGATATTATTGCCCCAGATACTGAGTGACACCGTCCAGGCGTGAGCAGAATACATCCAAACACGTTCCAACACTTTTTCAGAGTCACCTGCCAGGTGAACTTGGACGTGATGTGGTCCTTTTTCTGGTCAGGTATGTGGCAGGTGCGCAGACATGACTGGTGGCCGTTGCGCTGAGCGCCAAGCACTGTTGGTGCCAACGAGTGAACCGAGTGAAGCAAGGTCCGAACACTCCACAGGTCCGAACACAACGGTGCGTTCGTGGTCGTCGGACAGAGACGCCCGAAGGGGTTTTCAACACAGAGACGTTCGCTTTTTTGGCCAAGACCGTGGTTCAATTGGAGGACTACCGTGTGCAATGGATTTAGTATGATTTAGTAAATGGTTTTGGATGTTCCCAGAGGTCAAACTGGGGGGTCTCCTTATTCTGCACACCCAATGGCTGTGGGTCATGGCACCAATGCACCAAGATACCTTGGAGCATACCATTGGTTGACCTACCAACGATGGTCAAGCCATGATGAACCAGGCTCCAAGTTGAACGACCCCTTCCAAACTCCGAGCCTGGCTGGCATGCTCCAACCGTACCGTGGATGCTCCTAGCGTCCCCGACTATGAAGGTCCAGGTGCACACACACACACACACACCACTCCTCGTGGTGCGTTGTGTAAGTGAGCATTGGCTTTTCGGCTTTGTTGTGAAGGATCCTCGTTAAGGAAGGACAAATGGTGCATGGCCCGATCAACTCGTGCCGACCTTTGTAAGATCATGCTTAGTCCTATTTCGGGAGATGAGCAAAGTTTGTTCATGAACTTATATGCTCCTTTGATCCTTTCTCTCCCCAAATACCCCTTCCCAAAGATCAAACTCTAAACCCAAACGCATTCCGCACAAATCCCCATGACCCCCACCTACCGCCCTACTGCATCCCACCAGCGCGGTCCGGATGGCACCGGAGGTGATTTGGGGCTTCTTGTTGTATCCCTTGTCCTGGGTGCCCGGGCGCCAACGGAGGTTGGGGAGAAGAACCGGTGCGGGACCTGGGTCGAGGGGGTCGACCTAGTCGGTGCGGTGCTGTTCCCTGGTGCGTTGTTGTTTGTCTTTAATGCCAGGGTAGGTACAGTTACTGAGTTGCTCTGAAATAGCCTCTTTGTCGGGTGTTAGTTAGACTGTGCTTAGTAAGTCTAGACATGACTTGATAGGGGTTTTGCATCTCAAGTGTTAGGGTTAACTACACCAGCAAGTCTGTTTCAGCAGATGGCTGGAGTCCAGCAGATTCTCACAGCCTCGGCAGATTTACGTATGGTCCTGGTCCATCCTGGCTTGGACCAGATATGGGAGGAGAGGGGAGCCTTCATAAAGAGAGATGCGGAATGATGCTTGCCAATTGGTCGACCCTATGTTGTAGGATTCTTAGACTCAGATGTTATGGATCTACGCAGCTGCCTCACTCTAGGCACCTGCATGTAGGCAATGATCATCAATAATAGATTTGTTTTAGGGGTGGTGAATTGTGAAACGTTTTTTCCAGAGGAAAGATAGATCTGCTCATGGAATCTTCCTTTACTCAGCTCCTGAGGCCAATGATTATGATTCATTAGCTGGGATAGGTTTCTCTAGATTTTCTTCAAAACTGACAGCTTTCCAAACCCACCACTTCCTAATGCAATCCTTTATGTGAACATTGCTCCTAAACAAATTTTCAAGGTAGTAGACCAGGAAGGCACCTGATCATCAATAATAGATATGTTTTAGGGGTTCTCAATTGTGAAAAGTTTTTCCAGAGGAATAATAGATCTGCTCATGGAATCTTCCTTTACTTAGCTCCTGAGGCCAATGATTATGATTCATTAGCTGATATAGGTTTCTCTAGGTTTTCTTCAAAACTGACACCTTTCCAAATACACCAATTCCTAATGCAATCCTGTATGTGAACATTGCTCCTAAACAAATTGTCAAGGTAGTAGACCAGGAAGGCACCTGATCATCAATAATAGATTTGTTAAAGGGGTTGTCAATTGTGAAAAGTTTTTCCACTGGAAAAACAGATCTGCCCAAGGAATCCTAATACTACCAAAGCCATGGCTGGCTTTCTGAGATCCCTTTGCAAAAGAAATCTACCAGGAATCCAGATTTGTTTTGGTACTAGTGAATATATAGACGACCACCCATTCGTTTAGCTAGGGGGGACCCCCCTTTACAAACTGCAGTATAACAGTCGGATCGCCACAGCAGGGCATGTTTCGAGCAATATGCTCTCTATTGTTGCAGTATAGCAGAGCTTCGAGCATTCATTGCTACTCACTGTCGCCGTCGCTGGATGTGAATGTTGCAATATACTCCCGAGTTGGTTGGATGTCGTTGGAAATCGGAACGGATGTGGGATATCAATTGTAGATGCACATACACCGATCAAGGTCACATCCAGGCAGTTCGTCGCCAAATGCCAAGCAATGATTTGCGTATCCAGGCTATCCAAAGAGCGGTGGACTTCAATGACTCGCTATCCACCAGAAGCAACCCCATGCTACCCCAAATCCTGAACAATTTGTGGTTCTGTGACTATCCTGCTCACATGCGACAGGTGGTTTGAGGTCTATTAAGGCAAGATGCAGCAGCAACATTCAGAGCTTGCCTGTGGACGGGCATCTGTCAGTGCAGCAGATAGAACACAAGGACCATCAAATTGCCATGGGAAGAAAGACATCACATGGCTGGTGATGGTCCACGAGGTCATGGAGAGCTGCCCTCGCCGTGGACACTTGCTGCACCCTCAACACCAGCGAGCTGTCAAAGGGTGAACATGAGCTACAACTGTTTTGCAGAATCATGCCCACCATCCGCGGTCAATCCAGAGTCGAAGTCCAGCCTGCCTTGACTACAACAAACTGAAGGCGTGTTTGCTAAAGTCGAATCCTGCCTGTGGTCCAGCTTCCATACATGTAGTTGTTTGTCCTGAAGCATGGGAATGATGAGCCGCTACAGAGGATGAAGTTGGTAACGCCAGGAGCTTGGGGGCTGATGATCAGGTTTTGAATCAAGATCCGACCTCTTCTGGCAGGTCCTATGCATCATCATTTGTGCCACGCTGGAAACTGCGTGTCCTCTTTTTACCAGCGTGCAGGAGAGGCAGCTGAGCATCAGTGACTGCAAGGACAGGTGTTTGGTGTTTGGCTGCCAATGCTCCTCTTCTTGAAGTCGACCAATTGCCGAAAAGAGTACATGGGCAGGGTACTCGCATGGTGCAATGGGAACAAGAGGTGCGATGGTGACTTTGAACGTATCCAAAAATGATCAAACATGCCATTCATGTGAGTCATGCCATTGAAGAGGCATGCCTGCACCTGGCCAAGCACAAAATTCACTACGTTCTTCTACTGAACGAAAGCCACATATAGAGACAAGAGAGAGCCACAGAGACAAAGAGAATTTGTCACCCAAAGAAAAGTTATTTTAAAACAACAACTTTCTTTTTGCATCATATATGTTTGCTGTGTCTTGCTCCTTGGATTCTTTGACACTTTTTTGTGTCATGTGTTTGGCAAAAGTGAGCAACCGCAAGAAGAAAATGTGCAATCCTTGCCGGCCTGGCATGACTTCCAAAACCCACACCCACAGCACAACTGCCTGACTTGCATGATCTTTGGTCAAGATTCGAGCAGAGCTGTGCCTTGTAATCTGATTCTGGATGTGTCATTTGCTGATCTTCCATGTCTAGACCGCTCTCCCCTCCCCATCCGCCATGTTAACCGGTATCTTGATAGACACCCCCCAAAGATGAAACCTTCTCTCCACATGCCAACATTGAAGGATGCCATCCACCCCCCGAATGCCACGAACATGTTTTCACGCGATTACCTCAATCACTTAAGTTTTGAAGTTCCTATTGGCTCTGAGCAAAAACCGCCCACCCCACTGCCGAACGCGCGGCCCACTCCGGGACGTACCCCCCCAGGTGCCTTGGCCCACTCCGACGGGATATAACAGCGCAGGGCCTTCCACCTTGGGTCAGGCCACCGGTCGAAGCTGCTGGGGGAGCGGCGGCGGCGATCCCCGCTACGAGCGTTCTCGGTGCCTTTGGGAGCTTGGAACGCTACGAGCGTGTTCGGTGGATGCAATGGGATCGATGTTTGCCGTGTTTTCACTCGAAGATGTTCGGATGAAGCGGGATGAACTTCGACACCCAAAGAGTTAGCCTACAGTTGGTCTCAAAGAGTATCTTCATCCAAGTATCTAAGAGGCCAGCTTGCAGTCGTTTTTGCCCAGGCGGCGCCATCCGGGCAATCGAAAAAGGTGTGTGTTTGTGTGTGTTTGGATTCAAGTCGACTCGATCTTGGACAAAGATATGCCCAAAAGAACAGGGATATCCGAAGGGTTCGGAAACGATTCTTGAACACAATGCAGCGCAGTCCTAGGGGACCATCAAGCAACCAGGTCCACTGGTCCACCCTTGGGACTTCTTCTTTTGCAGCGGATGTCCCTAGCCTCAAGACTGACAATCCAAGATTTCCGGTCGAAGCAGAAAAACACAGACGGCGTGGAATTGGGCGAGTGTCCAGGAACTTGTTGTATTTTTGGTACCCCACAGGAACATTTGAATGCGTGGGTGCTTGATGGTCCTTGTTTTATCATGTTTTATGTGGTTGCTTGCTAGTGATTACTGGCGCAAGAGCTACAGCTTTTGTTGAAGCAGGTGCGCTATACATCCGTGTGTTGTTAAACCCCCCAACCGGCCTTAGGTCTTAGTCCAGTCCTGTGGTCAGTCCTATGGCCGACGTTTCTTCGTTGCGGTTCGACCGGAAGCCGTGGCAGGACTTGAGGGATTCCTGGACCTGTGCGGATGCCCAGTCGGGACAGGAATGGCCCGAGGAATGGTTCCGCATCTCCCAAAAGGTGCTGCCTAAGGTTCTGTCGATTGTTGATAGACAATAGATGCTTGCTGGAAGGTTGTGCTAGATAGTTCATCCTCATTGTGGTGATGTTAAATATATTATACACAATAGATGCTAGATTCCTGCACCTTCAACAGTCTTCGACGATGCATGTTTCCTCAAACTTGCCCGGGGGTGCTGAGAACTTCTCCCAGCACGGCATTGATGCATTGATGTTCGTCCCCAACCCTGACATTCCGAGCCACCCCACCCACGGTTTATGCATTTCAGCACAAGCCATTTAAGGAGCAAGTTGAAGGATTCGATTTGCTCAAGAGCTGCGAAGTCTCTTCCAGACTCTTCCAGACCTGCTTTCGCCCACCGGGCAGTGAGCCCTACGTACCGACTTCCCCCTCCCCCGAAACGCCGCCGCCCACCGCGTGAGGCTTCATGGGACGGAATCCCAAGCCCTCGGTGACCACCTGCGACGCCGAGCCCGCGTGGATGTGGTTCATGATGCCACCAAGCCGGAAGGACGTCAGAGTTTGTTTTTTCCAAGTGTCCACTGAAGTTTGAAACCCCCAAATCTGTTTTTGTTGGGAGAAACAAGACGAGTTGTGGTTTTTGTTCCTGTTTATGTTTGTTCATCCATTCTCTGGAACTGGAGCTGGTTGAACCAACATGTTGACCTCGGCATGCTGAAGCCAGCATTTGTGTTTGTGTATGTGTTAGATTGTTTTAGTATATAAGTGTAAAAACAGAGACAGCTGACTCCTATCAGCAAACATGCGGGCGTCTTTTCTCCATCCACTCGGCTTGTGCCGAAAGAGTCCCTGAGATTCGCACGACTGCCACCCTTCCGATGATGGTGGTCAAGGTGCTCGTGTGTGGGTTTTTCACACTGGTACTAATCTCTTCTATGCTTTATACTGGCGAACTTGGCTCGTCCCTGGAATGAGAGGGCCCTGCTTCAGGCCAGTTTGCTGCTCATACAAAACAATGAAATCGCAAAAATCTTTCAAATGTCCACCGGCGGTCTTGGACCGAGCTTTGCACCAACGGACGTAGTTGGTCTTCTTCTGATCTGAGCTGCTCACCACATCGAGGTATGAAAGGCCCTGATTGTTGAATTGTCCGAAACTCAGCAACGCTTGGCCCCACTGAGCCAAACTGGAAATGCCCTCTGGGAAGGAAACAGCATCTTCCTCCTGGCTGGGAAGATAGGTTGGCTTCACATCAGGAGCCGTCCATGGTCCACCCTCATATCCAGGAATGTCGCTCTCATACTGAATTGAATAGCCATCGGGGGCTGCTGATGAAGGCATGGGCACTGATACCGCACTACGTTTGGTGTTCTTGAACTGTTCTGACACTGGGTCCCGGCGCTTGCATGCGTCGGTCATGGCACCTGAGCTTGTGACCAACGAGAACTCGCCGTCTGAACGGCAAGGACTCTGAGGAGGCATACCGTGAGCTGCCGCTTGGAGCACAGCTTCACTGATCTTCTCATCTGGTTGAGCCTTCTGGAGCAAGGACACAAGCTGGCGTTGTTCCTCCGGTGTGAGAGACATGACAAGAAAAGGCTCTGCTCTCCGAAAAAAAGATTCGAGGTCAACAAGACTCACGAGGCAAAAATGCTTGAGCAAAATGTACATTGATCAAATGAAAAACATTCTCTCACCAAAGCGGAGTCTACACAAAAGTTATGTCTTGGATAAAGGCATTCATTTCAAATTCCTCAAAAACATGCACTGGCTGCAATGAAGACTGACATCAAACCTAAGCACGAATGTTCGACTCACCCTCACGAGTCCTCATTCCTGACTCCCCGTTTGATCCTACTCAATCCTCATTGACTCGTTCCCTGAAGGGAACTCTCGGAAGGAGGTGTCTTCTCAAGCTGGCGGTTTTTCTGACGCCTGTTTCGTTCAGCTGCTTGCTGGGCCAAAACAAAATTCTCTGGCGAGATCTGGTAGGACGCTGTCCTAATGCATGACCTAAGTAAGTCGATCGGGTCCTGCTTGTCCTTAGTGAGACCATCTGCTAGCATGCGATCGGTTGGAAGCCATCGAACGATTCCCTGAGTAATAGCCAATGACTCTCTGATGATCACTATGTCAATACTCGTCCTACGATCCTCCACTGCTGTGGGGGCCGAGGGAGATGTGAGATGATCAAACAGAGATTTACAGTCGGTGGCCAGAACAGGAGGTCTTCTAGAAAGCCTAGACCTACTCTCTCTTGGATTGAAAGGGCCGTCCAAAGCCTCGCACAAGAGAAGATTGACCCACTCCACAGATCCGGAGGCGCATGCCATGGATTGGCTCTCAGCCCCGAGTGTCGAGCTCACTGCTCGAGGCAGTTTGTAACTGCGCCACAAACAAGGTGTCCAAGGAGCCACTAACCCTTTATCTAAGTCCATGCTAGTGAAAGCCAAAATGAACCCTGCTTGAGTGTGTGTACCTAGGTTGGCGAAGGCTGCGTCACTGTGACAACAGATCCTTGGCTTCTCGGGAGCAATACTCATGAAGGTGATCTCCAAGTCCTTGTTCATCTTTGCTCTGCGAATTGCGTTATTTGCATCCCTGAGTGTTCGCACGGTGGGATGAGGAAAGGATTGTTGACACATACTGGTTTGCACAGCCAGATCAGGCCTACTTTGAGAGGCAATCCAGTTGAGACTTCCATTGATAGCTCGAAGTACTTTGATTTGGCCCTCATGGAGTTTGGTTTCGTTTGCACTACCCTTTGGGATGTTGGCGGGCCGCATGGATTCTGCGAAAAGTCTTTGAGACATGTGGATCTCTTTGGTGCTTTTGTCCTGTTTATAGTAACTGCCACAAAACTCTCCCTCACCTACCCGCCACTTCCGATACGGGAAGCGAGCTTTAAGGGATGCAATGGCTTTCTCAAAAACTGGTCCGGATCCTCCTACTGCGGTATCGTCCACGTGAACTCCCATAATACCGATGAGCTGGTTGGTGTTTGGGTCTCTGAGAAAGTACAGGCACGAATCAAAAACCGAACGACACCACCCGGCCGTCACGGCCTCTTGATGAAAAGTCTTGAACCAGCTAGCCGGCGCGTCATTCTGTCCGTAGACATTTCCGATCACCTCAATCACAGCGTCGCTCGGCACTCCTGGGATGCCTCCAGGAGGGTGAGAGGCGAAAAGCGGACGGAACTTGTCATCCAGTGGCCCTGCCTCCATGAACGCTCCTTTTATGTCTCCTAACTGAAGGTCCCATCCAAAGGAACAAATCAGTTGCATGAGAATCATACGGGAGATTTGATTGAGAGTAGGTGACTTAAGCAAACCTTCTTGGGCCTTTTGTTCGAGATCCGGGTCCAAATGCCCCTGAAGACACCACCGGCTCTTGATGCGAAATGTGTTTGAATCCTCCGGCACAATCTTTTGATTTTCTTCGGCTGGTTTACGGATGATGACGAACCGACTGCCGATGAACCTATGAGGATACAGGGCTTTTAATTTTGCAGCCTTCTTTCCATAATGGATTCGAACAGCAGATTTCTCGGTAATGGTGTTCCATTCCTGAACTTTGGATTCATCAACTAACCGTTGCAGCTTGGGATCCTCGTTGGTGTGTGGAATTTCCTTGCTAAGCTTCTTTTGCAGATATGCGGCCATCAGGACCTCGATCGGGCGGTCTGGATGCCAAGAGTCCCAAACTTCAGAGCATTCCTCCACGAGCAATTGTTCCTCATCGTGGACACTTTCTGCCATCCGAACGCGAGTTGTGGGTGGTTCCTCAGCTGTGTTTTCCAGTTCTTCAGAAGATCTCTTCAGTCCTGAAGTTTCCGATATCAGTTGAGAATCACTTGGGTTCAATGACTCCACCAAAATGCGAGGAACCATTTCTCGCAGCAGATCAGTAAAATCTTGCTCGCGCATTGCTGCTGGTCGAAAAAGAGCTGCTTCGCCGGCTTTCTGGGGGATTCGTCGGCGAACAGGTCCATATGAGGACTCGTCTCTTGCTGGATTGCTGGAACTGGATCCACCGATCGACAGAGAAGGAAATTCTTCCTCGGTCTCATGCTGATTGCTGTTGCTTTCTTGCTGAAGTTCTGGTTCTTGATCCGGTGGCACCACTTCCATAGGCACATCAGCTGTTTCTGGCGTGCCCGAGTTGAGATCAGATGCAGTGACGTGTTCTTGGACTTTCCCTGGAGGTATAGGTGGTTCTGACTGCGAAGTGGGGTAGTGTCCAGGAACCAGATCTACATACTGGTGACTGCGGAAAGTTCCACCTTCCAACAAATCCTTGATCCCCAACAATTCGGCTTGAGGAGACTCCAACAAGGTTCTTTCTTCTGACGTTGCTGCACGAAGTTGTTCTGGAGCCACCCTAAAAATTTGCTTGCGATGAGCTACAACATAGTTGCGTCCAATTTTGCCCATAACCACCGCTGTACCAAACCAATGTCCCCCTTGAAGAACGTGCCCTTTTTGGGACTTGGAACCTCCTTGGTATTTTTGTTCTCGCCAGTATGCCACAAGGTCTCCAGCTTGGAAGTCCGGCGTCACCCGGGGTCTTGCCGCTAGAGCTCGACGCAGGGATTGATCACATTGTAGATCAATGATCGCCTTGCGAGCCGTTGCACGAATTTCCTGGGCCTTTTGGATGGCGGCATCTGTCAAGCCCAGTGTTGCTGGCACAACTCGTAGAGGTTCATCCAGAAGTTCTGTTGGAACCGAGGGATTTCGTCCGAAAACAAACTGGTGAGGAGTGAAGCCATGATTCTGAATCATTGTGTTCTTGACATGAGCTTGCGTTACCAACAAATCCCAGTCGTCCTTGTTCTCGGGAGTGTATTCTTGTACCAGCTTGGTTAACACGTTGCCAAACCATCCTCCGTGCCGCTCTGTGCGCCCCAACTGCCAGTGTGCTTCTGCGGCGATCGGCTTGCACTGAATACCCAACTGGTCCAAGTATTGTTGCATGGGTTCTCCCAAGTTTGTACGAGCTGGGTCTAGCATCACCACCTTAGGAGGTCCAAACACTTTCACCCATTGGGAAAACAGCTTTTGCAAGACTATCGAAGTTTCTTGCTCATGAAAGGGAAGCATCAACTGATAATTGCTAGCGTGATCAACCATGTTCAGTGCTTTGATGGTTTGATTAGGACGCCATCCGGTGAGATTCTTCACATCTATTCCTACGACCTGATTGAATTCTTGAGGACGGTCGATCTGCGCAGGCAGGGGGGTGTGTGGTTTACCCTGAGCTTGGCAAAACTCGCAACTCAGTGTCCTGGCCAGCGCAACGGCCTGGTCTGAGGCCTGCGCATGTTTTAACAAACGCACTAGGTCGCTGGACGACGGATGCCCGAGATTCTTATGTAGACGGACCAAGGCCTTCTTGACCGTTTCCTCATTTCCTTGGTCCAAATCATCTTTCACCAACATGACCTGATGCTCATGGTGAAAAGACCAAGGCACACACTCCGGCATCTCACACTTGGACAACTGTGCATATTTGGGGACTGAATTCATGACTGCTTGAACAAAAGCTGGTGTGTATTTTCCCGTAAAGCTACTGATTGAACCCACAGATGGATGAGACCCGGCTACTTGCTGGTGACAAGCATGTTTAGGGTGGTGAGCACCCGGGCATCGTCTCTCCAAGCTAGCCATGTTCTCATGACTGGTCAAAAGACGTGTGGGTTTCTGGATCAAGGTTTCAGATCCTGGAAGTCGGAGACCGAATCGACAAAAATCACATTCCAACGGAAAAAATTGTTCCAGCAGTTTCTTCATCTCAGGATAGTGCCAAATGCGCGATCCCCGAGGATGTTCAAACAGCGCTTGTCCTCCGGCCTCCACTTGTTGTCTAAACAGGTCGCAGCAGAACCGAACGAAAATGCGGCTCTGTCTGACACGACGGGCCACTTCTTCTGTCGTCATGTTGAGAGCATTGAGGTTGAACCATCCACCCTCGTCTGTGCAGGGGGGTGAAAGAACCAACAAATCTGGTGGACTGTTGCGGAGTTCCCTGGAAACCAACGCCCGAACTTCAGCTTTGGACAGATCGTAGCCTGTCAACAGGTCATATGATTTGCAGATTCCACCCACACCCTGAACTAATGGTGCAAAGCGAGGAGGGCAAAAAACCTCAGCAACAGACAACGGTGACTTCTCACTCAGCTTCTGGGGTGTACTATGGTCAACCTGTCTCAACTTGTTCACCTGTGACCGCAATTGTCTCACATAGTGCACAGGGAGGTGTTCAAGCTTGGAAGTGATCTCCTGCGGTCGGAAGTAAAACTCCGTACGAGTGTGCATGATACCCGGTGGAATGGTATGACAATACCATGCTTTTCCTTTTTGAGGCACAATGGACTCATCAAAAACAACCTCTTCATTGTCCCTATTGATGACACGACGTCGAACGACCGAACTCCACAGAGGTCCTTGCTTGCCTAGGCCTGGGATTTTATCCAAAAAGGAATCACTACGAGACCAAAATTGAAGTCGATCGGACGTACCAAAGTCTTCAGGAACGGTCGGAGGCGTCAGTCCTGAGTGATCTTGCAAGTGATCAGACACGGGTGATGCCTTGGCGGCATCTTGGCTGCACATGACCTCTTCTTCGAAGTCAGCCTTGTCAGATTTGCCAATCACATTGACGGCGAACTGTCCGGCCTCGTTTGTGACCAGGGGCACCACTGTGCGATCTTCAAAAAGGGTCAGAGTTTGTGTGCCGAAATCAATGACTGCCTTGAGGGTTTGCATGGCATTGCGGGAGATCAAAAATGGAGCCTGGCCCTTCACAATGGCAGTGCGGATGGTTCCCTTCTTCCCACCCAGCAGCACTGGAAGACGGATCACTGCCGTGGTCGTCTCCCGTTCTCCATTGCCAAACCTGAAGTGATTGATCTCTGCAGCCTGGATGCCTGCTGACTTCCAGAGTTTGCGGAATTCACTCAAAGTTTCACGGCCAATGATGGATCGACCACAACCGGAGTCCAGCACACCAAAGCCAGGAGAGCTCACCAACAACACTTCGGGTGATGGACCCGAGTTCACATGAGAGAGCTCCATCATGTCCCGACGGTGTCGGAGGATGGACAATACAGAGTACTGCTCTGGACAAATAGCAGCCATAGCCACGAACTCGTCACCTTCCAGGGGGCCGTCCGGATCGGACTTCCCGTACACATGTTCTGTCACCAGAGCAGCACCAGATTCTTTCTTGTAGCCGCTGGACGACGCTGGCTTGACAGACGAAGATGTCGAAGTCCTAGGCATAGTGCACTCCCTCGACCAATGTCCGACTGCACCACAGCGATGACACTTTGTCTTTCGTTTGAGCTCGGCAATCTCGACTCTGTAGCTTCTCTTGAGGTCTGAGGCCGCTGAAAACTTCCTCGATCGTTGGAGCTTCCCCAACTCTTTCCTCCTTTCCTTCCAAGAGACAGCGAGGGCCTCAGCAACTTCTTGTTCGGTGAACAGTTCACTGTCTTCCAAAGAATCTCCTGCCGACAAGTCGTGTTCTGCTAAGAAGGATTCGACCTCCTTGGCCAAGTCGGTATCGTCTTCATCAGGCTCTTCGGGTGCAGTGTGACCGAAGTCCCCTTCAACAATGCCAGCGGCAACATGCCTTTTCCTCTGTATGACAAACTCCGGGTAGCATGAACGCATTGCTCGACCAACTTCGTCACGCTTCAGCACGCCCAGAGATCTCGCTAAGACCACTGCTTTCTGCTCATTCGACAACCCAGAACGATGTAGGATCAACCATCCTCTGGCCTCTTCCGGGAAGGCCACGTTGACCTTGCGTTCCACCTTATCGAACAGTTCAGTGGCACGAGAAATCCAAGTCTTCAGACTCTCACCTTCGGCAGCGCGAAGATTGAAAATGTCGGTGAGGGATTCACTCATTTCATCGCTAGCATCTTTTTGAGGAAAACGCTGGTCCAGTCTGTCCAGCAAGATCTTCTCTCCTCCTTCTTTTTGGTATGTACTGGGATCCAAGTGTTCCACCGACTCCAGCGCTTTGCCCGACAACAAAGTATAGATAAAGGCCCCACGAGCCTTTGGTTGCACTTTGTCTTCCAAAGTCAGGAGCTTGTTTTGCACCCAGACTTTCCATCGTCTGTACTCCTTCGCATCTTCGGCTTCACCGGAGAAGTATCGTAGGCCTCCTTGGCCTTCATGAGGCTGCAGCCATGGCGCTCGTGTGTCACGCAGGAGTCCTATCCTGCGGGAGCCACGGAAAACCGGGGCTCCGCTGCCAATGTAAAAACAGAGACAGCTGACTCCTATCAGCAAACATGCGGGCGTCTTTTCTCCATCCACTCGGCTTGTGCCGAAAGAGTCCCTGAGATTCGCACGACTGCCACCCTTCCGATGATGGTGGTCAAGGTGCTCGTGTGTGGGTTTTTCACATAAGTATCAAGTCACATGTCAGCAGAAGAACAACTTAATTGTCTTGGCTAAGACTCCCATCATGTTGTTGGTCATTTCTCCCTCGGAGTTTGTGCGAACTGCTTTGCATTCATGTTTACTCATTCGATCAATGAACCGAACCTCCCATCAGCAGTTCGACGTTCGACGCTGCTGCGTTCGTCTTTCTGCGCGGGACTCGACCGGTCAGCGCATGGGAAAAGAGTGAAGGACCTGTAGTCCAGAGTGGCCGGAAAGCGTTTCCCATGGCTTCCTGCGTTACCAGACGAAAGCCAAGAGAACTATCGGACAATCCAAGGGTTTTTTGCTCTGGAAACCATGCAATGTGTAATCACTTATTATATAATATAGTAGGGAACCTTGCGTTGTTTGTTTCTGATAATTTTCAGTCTCGCCATGTTTCAGAGGGAAACCTTTTCAAAACGAGGCACTTGATTCTTGACCTTTGCTCCAAATTCCCTTCAAACGTCCTCCCTTCAACGAGGTATCTGCTCTTCAACGTCTTTTTCAACCTCTTCTTCCTTTGGTTGATCAAACGCCTCAGTGGAACCTGGGCCTCCATCGGCTCCAGGGAGCTCGTGCTTTAGGCGGCGCGCGAGCTCGCGCGGAGCGGCAAGCGGCACTGATGGTGAATCCATGAGGGTCTTCATTTGGATGTGTTTGTTTTTGAGAAGGGACTGTTGTGGGTTAGGGTTCTGAAGATTCATCTAGATTTAATCCTCGAAAACATCGTTGCAGGGCAAGCTCTTAGTTTTTAAGATCCGGAAACCAACAAACCAACAAACCAACACGAAACACCTTTCCAAAGCCCTGGTTGGGTCCCCAGCGGTTAAGCCCTGGTCGACGTCGTCCAGGTCACGGTCGAGGTCGGAACGCAGCGGTCGGACGTGCTGAGTTCGGTCGACGAGGTCGGTTCTTTTGACCGACCGAACTGTGTTCCCCACGTTCTTTGGTAACTCACTCAAACGGGGCAGGGCAAGGGTGTTCCTCACGTGTTGGGAAAGGTTAAGCCAGCAAGGGCCATTGAGTCACACGGTGGTGCAACTCACCGTTGCGACTCTTGAAACATAAACTAAAATTAGTAAAGATCAGCCCCCACCTATATATATATATACACACACTTCATGTATGCAAGACATATGAGGTGGTTTTGGGGATTAACAGTAATATAGGTAATGTACAGGGTGTCGGGAATATTTACCGGTAGAGGAAGAGCATTCTTCCAAAGACCTCCAACCCCAGGGGCGCCCTGCCAGTTTGTTGGGTCGCACATGAGCAGTTGCAGCTCGACAGAGCTCCAAATGCCCTCGGAAAGTCCCTCGGAACTATCAGTTGAATCCATTGAGCCCAGAATGAGTAAACCAAAGAATGGTTTCTCACGTGCGAAAAGCACATAATTTTGAATCTGTAGAGCTGCTTGGACAGGATCGAGTCTTTTGGTTCCCCACTTCACTCGGAGTGAAACGGCCTCCAGTGTTTTCTATCCATCCTAGGCTCCATTCTTTGCGGAAACCTCTGCGGGATCTTCAGCCAGTTCGAACTCTTTGCGGGCAAATCCGCCGCGGCGGGGATCTGCCCGACCCGGGAGACGGACCCGTCCGGACGGACCCGTGGGGACGGGGTGGTTTCCGTGGGAGCAGGCGATGGGACACTGCAAGGGACGAGATGTGGAGAGCTGTATACCAGTCTGTCCCGATCTCCAAGACTGAAGGTCCCACAGGAGCTACTGTAGTTGTGTCATTTGAATTCATGTTATTTTAAAGGAAAAGAAAACACACACAATAATTTGTTCTAGATGCAGCCCCTCCCGTTCAGCTTTTTGATGGAACAAGATCTCATCAATGTGTCCGCAACTTCTAAGTTTAAGCGTTTAGTTCCCAAGGTGGCTGAATGTTCAATACACTTTAGCGTTTTCAAGATCTGCGACCATCCACCCTCCACCTGGCATTCCAACGGCTTGGTTATCCACACCAGTTCGCTCTTCCCATGGGTGCTAGAGTATTCTTATACTATTGTGTTTGCAGGCAGTGTTTTGTTTGTCAAACGGTCGGTCTTTCTATGTTTGCTTCTCTGTTTTCGATGTAGTCGTTTTTTTTCTGCTGGGAATGGTGTTTTGAAGAATATATATCCGATCTGTCCTAGAAAACCTGTAACAGCCAGTAAACATGAACATAGTGCACTATGATTTTTGGGATGGAAAGGCCGGCACTCAGGCCCCATCATCTTCCACTGGGCCCTGGATGACATGGATAGATCCAAGTCCTAGATCCACCTGCTGCCCGGACATCCACTGCGCGGGGGTCTCTGCAACCCCGAGACGGCAGACCGTCCGACCTGCCAGAAGCTCACCTTCGAGCAATGGATGGCCTTGGTTTTGTCCTCGCCCCTCGGACGACCCCGATTTCTACGACGGTTGCATGGACTATACCTGGACTATACATGACTATACCTGAATCTTCAAGTACGTAACTTGGAAAATGGGAGCGACCCTATAAACAATAGGGACTTGACTTGCATACTGCATACTCGTTTTTAGAAATACTTTGAGGCTCCAGGTATATCATCCAAGAAGAGACATGACAGCTTTTGTGGGATACAACTCCTGTTGTTATCCTATAGTCCTATAGTATGTCCAAACTACGTTTATCCATGTTTATCAATGTTATCCAATTGAAGCTATGGGATACAATGGGTTACCCATGGGACCGGGGCAATGTGGAATGACAGCTTGGTGCTGATGTGTGTGACTAGATGGGTCGACCACGGGTGGAAACTGACCACCTAATGACCCAATTCTTTTCAAGAAAGCTAGGGATGTTAGGGTGTCTACTCCCAACTGCGAGAAAGCTAGGGATGTTAGGGTGTCTACTCCCAACTGCGGCCTTTTCATCCCTTTTCTCAGTCGATCTTGATGCAACTGCCGACCACCACACGCCACATCCTCACCCTCCCACGCCGCGGATCGGAGACGCGCTGGGGGAGGCCTTTCCAACGGCTCCCGGGAAGCCTTCGAACGAGCTTCCCGCCCAGCCCCGAGGATCGCCATGTGGGTGTACAACATCGAAGAAGAGGTGGACGTGAACGGCAACAGCGTCTACGGAGAGAAAGAGCTGCCTGACACGACACGACACGTTCGTTCGTCGACGTTCGTTCGGCACGTTCCGCGAGTTCGGCTCCTTTTTTTGCTCAACAAGAGGGGAGAGGTGGGACGAAGAGAAGCACGTCCACAGATGGATGTGGTGCGAAGAAGCAACCGGAAAAGTGCTATCGCCGCATTCTGGGAGATTGCAAGGTCAGGTTGTTTTGTGCTGTTTGTGTTCCTTTTGACCGACTTTCTGCGCTTTGCCTTTGTATGCCCGGCACGTCCGGCACGTCGTGCTTCCAAGAGCTTTTTGAGATAAATTCAAAGCAATTGCTAGATTGATATTGCAAGACCATTTGCACAGAGCTTTGAAGACCAATGAAGTTATACCATGCCACCATTATATCAATATCTCATTACTTTCTGTAGAGTTGCCATCCAAAAAACTTTCAATGTATGGGACATAGGAGGTCAAGACCTCCTCCATGGGTTAAACTTGTATGGTAAGCCCGGCTTTTTTCGGGTTTCCCCCTTGGTCCAGACGTTCATCTTCGCTTATTCCGGGAAGACGTGAACGTCGCGACTGAAGTGTGACCATGGCCACTTAAAATGCCAGAGCAACGCCGTGAGTACGTGACCTGCGGAACGTACGTGCCACGGACGGACGTCGGACGCAACGGAAAACAGAGCGTGACTCAATACAGGTGTTTTGTTGGGGGTCTTTGCGCTTCCACACTGCTGAACCACATCAAACGCCTGGAAGACCCATCGAGAGGTTCACTACCAGGACACTTACCAACCCTGAGCAATGCCCAGCCCGGATTCTTGTGTTCCAATCCTCAGCAGCTCAGCAGAAGAACAACCAGCACTGAGGAAGGGAGATCATAGATACGATGCTCGGAACATGAAAGCTAAGGGCTGAGGGCGCCCGCGTCCTTCGCCTTTGGGCCTGAAACAGGGTGGTCGTGCGAAGATGTTCCTTTTGGAACACCATGAGGAACATCGAACACCGCCAGGGTAGACGTTCGTAAAAGGAACCTGTACGAAATCGTAGGTCCAGGAAAACAACGGGTCAGGCTTGGTGCAGAGTCATCATGGGTTTTGGTACAATTTGGGTTTGTCCTAGAACACCTGCAACAGTCAGTCAACAAGAACATCACTATTTCAGAGAAAGGCCTGCAACCAGGCCCCATCCACTGGACCCTGGATGACATGGATAGACCGGAACGTGTACTGGACGAGTCGAGACTGTCAGACGACGCAACGCCGAGTCGAGACTGTCAGACGCTTGTATGCGCTTGTCAATATTCAGTGGTTGCTGTTCAATGTTCCAAGACACTCCAGGACACTCCAAGGTTTGCTGTTCAATGATCCATGTGTTTTTTTTCCAAGACACTCCAGGACCTCTACACACCAGGACCTTCATTTTGTGACCAGAATGGAGTTCCCAGATCCTTATGTCACGACAACAGGCCTGCAAAAGGTCACTTGGAGACTCCAAAGAGATCACTTTGAAGACTTTGAAGACACTCCATGGACTCCATGGCATATATCATGGCATATCATTGTATTATGTGCTACTTGTGCATACATTGTGTACCGCCCCTCCTCCATCCTCCATCCTCCTCACAATGTCAATGACTTACCCCACACCCGGACCTCCCAAGACAGACCGCTTACACCTCCCCCGTGATCCGTCACTGCCCTGGCGCAGCGCTTGGCTTGGCGCATCGAGGACACCTTCGGCGTCATGGGCGTCGATCCGGACGAGGACGAGTACGCCTCGGACGACGAGCCCACGGCACAGGCAGAGTCGCTCCGCGGTTTTGGGGCGGCGTTCGGTCTGCGAGAGAGGTCAGTGTTTGGGCGAGGTTTGGGGTTGTGGTTCCGGGTGGCGTGTTTTTTTCGCTTGCTTTGGCGGTGTGTTGGCCATTGGACCGAGGTTTTTAGAAGATATGTGCAAAGATGTCATGTTTACATATGTTAATTTACATGTTTTTCTAATTTACACCTTTTTGGGGGGGAGTCCGATTTGCCATGGCTTTCCCGATGTTGTGCATGTGTTCAAGTGTTACGCGGCATGGCTGCGCCATCGCGGATCGGATCCAGGGGTTAGATCATCCTATAAGCGAGTCTAAACACATCTTACAAGGCCTTGTGTAGGTCGAAGGCAAACCCCAAGCTGTCGTGACGATCTCCAAAGAGCCAAACTAATTTGGATACTTCCAAGTTCAGCACACAACCAGCGGCAGGACATGACATGACAAACATATCGACACGACCTGTCTGGGACTGCAGCTTGCCGCCTCATTGACCCCTGAAATCAACCACCCCAATAGTAAGTAAATATGTCAGGCCCATGGATAGAAAGAGTGTTGGAGTCATAAGACAAAACATGACAAAACTGTTTCACTACCAAAAGAACCGTTTTGTTACCCTTGCTTTTGACCCTCCATTCCTGCTGCTTTTTCAGGACCACACCAACTTCTGAGCGGCGATGGGGACGGGGTGGAACAGGGTGGAGACGGGTGTCCTTGTGAAGGTGTGTTTTTCACGACCACAGACCACCGATGTCTTTGTTGCGGTGCTCCAGAGGTGGATTGTGGACAGACAAGTTTGTTTAAAGTTATTTTGTTGTATTTGTTTTTTCAAGTCCAGTTGGTGAAATGGTGTGAATCTAGGTGGACATGTTAGTGAGTGGTGTGTGTGTGTCTTCTTCGGTTGTTCAAACTGGCAAGTTGGATCGCTCCGATCTCGATCTTGCCGCTGCGCTGCTCCACCGGAGAACTTCCACCGAAAGCGTTGTAAGGGGCCCGGCCGTATGCCTGAGCCAGAAGTGTACGCCTAGGGCACGCATAGCTTCCATGTAGGTCGAAGAACCGAAGATCAAAGAAGAATGACCGGTTTCACGGAAGAAACATGCATGCTGTATCTTGATCAGTAAATACTGTACAATACCGTAAACAATTGGTACCGGTCTATTCCTACTTTATGAGCCTCTACATGATCATGTTGCGGCATGAGTTCGTTGCTTGACTTTCGTCTCTTCAACCTTGACAGGGAGATGGCAGCGTTTTTCACGTCTGGGACGACATAGGAGGAATGACTGGGCGTGGCTTTTTCGCTCTACCCGATCAATAAGAGCTGGGAATCCCAGCTCTTCAGTGTCGGCTTTAGAATGTGTTCGATGGTTTATAGATGTTAACTATCCCAGACACTCCATGGGACTGGCATATATGCCGATCAGGCCAGGGGTGGTGCCAGGGGGGTCAATTGATCGGCAGTCCTATGGCAGTCCTATGGGTCGCCTTTCCGAACCATCATCCACTGGGCTGACATTTGTCCCAAACACTGAGGGGATGGCATGTTTTCTTACTGGGGTGGTTGTGAACAGTGGTTGATTGAAAAGGGGTCAATGTAAGCACATCATTCCAGTCCCAGACAGGTTGTGTTTGGGGTAGAGTACTTATAGAATCATGTCCACAATCCTTGACGGACGATCTTGGAGATAGGAACGCCGCCGGACGCCGTTCCTCCTAGCCTCTCGCCCGGCGTGATGGTTAAGCTGTGCCATATTGTTTAAGCAGAGATGTCTCGCCGAGACGTCAAAGATCTTCGCAGGAGGGGTCCCACATGAACAGTCGGCATGTGTAGTGTATTTTGCCACTCCCTAGAACTGGTTGGGCGTGGATAGCATGGCCACCATTTTCCAAAGACCAAGCAGGGCATGCCATCCACTTCCAAGTTAGTTCCAGGGAGAGTTCATGACTCACATGGATTGAAATCACTCCGTGTTGGTAGACTGATCGGATTGTCTCGTGTTTTCGTCTTGTTTTCTTCATGTAATTTCTCATTTCGCTCGTTTCATCACACAACGTCACGTCCATGAAGTCAGGTGCTCCTCACCCCTGCTGTCGGCAGAGAGTCCGTGGAGGGGTCCGCGATTCTGCTAATGTGTCACGTATCGAAGTTTGAAAAGGCGGCAGAGAGTCCGCGTCGCGGATCGGCAGATCCCCCGGAGTACGTGGAAGGAAACATAAATCGAAGAAACCTTCCAGGAGTACGTGGAAGGGAACATCTACAGGAAATTCATACCCTAAAGGTCAGGAACGGACCTCATGTTACACGATGTTACACGGATCATGCAAGCAACTTCACTACTCAAGGAGGCACAAGACATCACAATAGACCAGGTTTTACTCAGTCAGACTGGACTTGTGACAGTTTTGAGAAATCCATGGGTTTCGGATGTGTTCCTTCCACCAATCCTCTGAGGACATTGTCCCCACAATCCACTGGAGGAAGCAGTCCCTATAGAGTCAGCTAGGGGTAGGAGAGGTTGCCATTGGAGTTGCAAAGAACAAAATTACCCCAGTCCCAGTCCTGCAATAAACTTACATGTCCGTTCGCTTACCAATAGCTGGCTTACATATCATACACATTCTCAATCCATCGTATATTGCATACCTACTGTATATCGTATTGCATACTACGGACTCGGACCGGTTTTTTGGTCGGGAACATCCTGATTTCACCGGATCCGCGCGGGAAATCCGCGTGGTTTCGCGCGGCGGGTACGATCCGGCCAGACCCCTGCGAACGGCGTGTGCCTGGCGGAATACTGCGAGATCTTTGACGCCTGCTCCGGAGAGGCGAACCTGGAGCGAAGAAACCCACGTGGCTTTGGGGGGGTCCCTTTGTTGGTGGAGGGATGGAGAGAGGAGTGGGTGATTTGGTTGAAAGTTCGGAACATTAGATGGGCTACAACTCAGAAAAGGTGGCTTTTGAGCGCGTTCATTTAGATCATCTGGGAATTTGGGCCAAATCTAGCAGATTTAGGCATCGCATTTGCCTGATTCGGATTTTCTGCCCGGAGACTAGACATGTCTATTTCGCCCGAGTGCATGTTCAGCGGTTCAAAACTCGTGCATTTGGTTTTGCCTTTGACCATCAAACCGAAGCCAGAAAACAATGCTCGATCATTGAACAGTGCAGATTCACTTGGTTTCTCCAATCCAAGCGGAACATTGCAGCTGAAATGGCATAGACAGTTATGCTGCAGACTTGAAGTTAAGTCCTTTGAAAAAAAATGAGACACCAATGAGTAAGTTTTGCCTTGAACATATAGAAACTGTCCATCCGCAAACCTGCAGATACCTGCGTACACCCAACAACCTCAAATCACCACCTTTGCCCAGCCTTGCTGGGAAGGTCTGGTCCCTTTCACCCGCCACAGCCAGGTCATACGCCGCACCAAGAGCGACCCGGTGCCGTTTTGTAATAACGCTCCTTGGCCCCAGACCGATCGAACGAACGGGTTGAACGGGGTGATGGTGCTGATCACCACCCAGACACGGAGGAAGAACGAGAAACGGCCAAAGGGGTGGACCAAGAGGGGGTCAATGTATGGAGGTAATGGAGTGCTTGGGTGATTCACCTCACTTAGGGACTCAAAACCATTCCAGAACTGCTGGTACATGGACCCCCTGATATCAACCAACGGCCTACACACTCGGTGGAGTGTGGTCAATCGGTCGCCCCGGCCCTGGTGTTTCTACACCTTTGATTCAACGGGGGGTGGGGCGGCCCTGGGGAATGTTTTTGGACCCGACCCTACAGGTGAAATACATCATTCTTCCGGAGTTGGTCATGCAAAAACACTAATTACTCAGAGGATCTCAGGAGGACTAGATGTTGTTGGGTCTAGAGCGACATGTAGGGCAAGGGACAACGGCCGCCGAATGGATTTGCTTCGTGTCTGTGTTGCACATTCTTGCCACATCATTTGCCACATGGGGTTTTGGGAGGAATCGGCTCGCCGGGGGTGTCGCCACCTGGTGTTTCGCTCCATCGCCAAGGAGACCATGCTGCGGGAGCCGCTCGGCCGACGGTGGTGTTCCAGAAGCGGTTGGAAAGAGACCTGGCGTGCCAGAGTGGATTCCTGCCACACCTATGACATATATTATGACTATGACAGAAAAAACATATGACATAAATACTATGAGATGATCGATGTCTTTAAGGTTGAATGTTGCATAAGGTGATGACGTTTTATAGTTTTATACAGTAATTATACCTTGAGTCTCCAATGACCCTTTTAAATTTGCCTTTCCAAGAAAAAACGGTTTTTGAAAGAAAGCACTCTTTTTTGCATATGTCACGAAATGTTCCTTTTGTTTGTGCCCTGTCAGATCCTCCTTAGACAGTGTCCTGAGACCTTTTTTCGGCGTCCAAAACGCATCTTGTTGCATCCAAACGACGTAAAAAACGCAAAAATATTAGACCCAAAACAAAAACGCTGAAAAAAAAGGTCTTTGGAGACTCAAGGTATTAATGCAGTCTTATGAATAGACATTCATACGTGGATGGCTAGGGAGGCTCTCGGATGACATGGACCCATGGACCCATGGACCCCTTGGTGCTCATGACATGGACCACGCGCCGGTCTTTGGTCCCGCTTAGCGCCGCCAGCGCGGCCAGTACGAAGAGGCGCATCTCCGCCCTATCCACACTCCACGGGACGTGGTTCTTTTTTACCAATTCCCAGACATGACCTGTACGGGAATCTGTACTGGTCTACATTGACCACCTGAAATGGCAGTCCTATGGCAGTCCCAGACAGGTGGTGTTTGGGGCCCTTTGGGGTGTGAACGATTTCAAGGGGTCCTTCCGGCTGGATCAAGCAGAATCCGATCACCTCCGAAGGGACATGTACCTTGGATTTTGTGCGATTTCGTACAAGGTTTTTGTCATGTTGTTCAGGGTTTCCTTTGAAACCCTAGCAGGGTGTAGCAGCTGGTAGCATCTATAATCCCCAAATAGATTAAATACGGTTTCCAATACATGTTTATGGGGGAGCTACTGTTCTACTTATTGTTTGGGGGTCTATATATAGCATTTGCGCTTCAAATTGTTCTGTGCCGATGTCATGACGCGCCTCGCGCTGAGGCGTCGCCGTTGTGAGGACTCCTTGAGCAAGTGCCTTTCCCTCGACGAGGAGGGACTCTGGAGGGAGCAGGTTCTGCGTGAGGGATCCAGATGTGGGCGAAATCTCCACCTGAAGCGAAGGGTTTTTTTCTCCACTGTGGAGTTGATGACCCTCCCTGGAAGAGAATGGAAGTGACCAACGTTTCTGCAAGACATGGAAAGACAATGGAACCTGATTCCAAACTGGGGAGCACAATGTTTCTCAAAACCGCAGTGTCTCACACGATGTATGTGGCTCATGGAAGACTGTCGATGGATTGTCGATGGTTTTTCCAGAGGCCATGCCATCCACTTCCATGAGGATGTTGAAGGGTCCCGGGTCATCGCAGAGTCAACTCTGTTGCTCGTGTTTTCCTCAGCCAAGCTGTGCCAGGGCTTAACCATGTTTGAGTGGGATGGGATGAGTTGGGTTGGAAATAGCCTAGGGGGAAAGGACACATACCACTTGCAATTCGGGCATATACTTAAATTGATAGGCTGGTTTACTAAGGATTTCACACTACA